GGGGGTGGCGCCGGCGCGGCTGCGGGCGCCGGGGCCCCTCCGCCGTGGTGGAAGAGCACACGGGGCGATGCACCACCCATGCCTTGCGTTGGGGAACGAGCCGATGACGCACACTCACATCAAATTGGCGCGTAATTTAAACGGCGCTTATACAGAAATTAAGCATTATTTGCCACAGAGGCACGGCTAAAATAGTTATTTATGCATCAAGGGGTAATAAGGAAAGCCCTTGGGCCTTTCGTCGCCGCTCGATCATTAGAACTAGTTAACGCCTGTGGTAAATACACAATTTAATTTTTTACTCAATTTTAATGATACTAATGCACTTATTTACTAATAAACTGGATGTTAAGTTGACTCTGTCTTTTCTCATTACTCTCACATAAATCCCTTTCATAATTCCATCCATAAGAGAACGTATAGCATTGTTCAACTTTTCATATTTCCCTCGTAACCTCGGTTACCGTGATCCAGGTAGGTTTTGCTGTGTTTACAGCGCTCCGAATAGAAGGCAATGACAAGCTATACCATATCAGTAAAAATAAATGTTTTAGTTTTTTTAATGAATCTAATGCTGATTTTTGCATAAAGTTAATTATATTGGAAAAGTATTCTGGCATTTGAAGCAACTGTTAGTCAGATGACGTAAAAATTGTATTGATTTTAGCGTAATCTATTATTTAATAGTGTTTTTTTTTCTTTTCGTGAAATTTGTATTTTCACATTTTCTGGTAAAATAAGTAGAATATCTATAAAGGAGGAAAACATAGATGAAATAATTTAATAATGATGAAGGAGATTCTTTACACGAACGTAGTGTAATTGTAAAAATGAAACCTCTTGAATCGTCTCTTAGGAACTATCAGAACTGTAGAACTCTTACTCCACTCCAGGGTAGAATTCTAGCTGTGAATAGAAAAACTACACTACTTCTATGTAATAAATTATCCATAGAGGTCTATTATGTATGTATATTACATATTAACAAATGTAATAAATACCTCTTTTCTTAGTGAATAAAATAGTTTAAATAGTTTGTCTAAAATAACGAAATATCACGTAGGACTCTCAAAATATTTTAATCGTAAGTAAAATGTCTTTGATACACTTAAAAAACGAAATTAAAAAAACGTGTTGATAACAATGTATATTCATAGTATAGGTATTGGATATCT